AAACATTCAATTGGGATGGGTTACATTTTCAGAGGTTTAGTCCATTATCATCATAATGAGACATGGAATGTAAGCAGAAATGGGGTTGGAGCAGGAGCTGAGAGCCCTACATCTTTACTCATAGGCAACAGGTAGTGGTCTGACATACTGTGTGAGCTTGAGCATATATGAGACCTTAAAGCCCATTCTCACAATAGCACACTCCTCCAACAAGGTCATAACCACTCCAATAAAGCTACACCTCCTAATAGTGCTACTCCTCATGAGCTTATGGAAGCCAATCACATTCAAACTGCCACACATGGCTTAATTTAAAAACTGATCAAAGGTAATAACAAAATACAAGCCAGCAAATAAGAAACATGACAAGCAATTATATGAAAAGATGTTAGACATCCCACGTCACCAGAGAATTGGGATTTGAAACTATGAGATATAGCACAGAGTCATTTAGATGGTAAAACATCAAAATTTTGACAACAAATGCTGGTGAAGGTAGAGAGTCAAAAACAACTTTCACCCATTTCTGGCAAACAGAAAGTCAAGAAGAGCTCCATTGGAAGACCAGCTGACAGATTCTTACAAAATTGAACATCAGACCTATGACAGATTTTCTAAGGTTTTAGACAAAAGATTTAGAAGCTTTCACCAAAGCTTGAATGTTTATAACAGATTTAATCCCATGTCGAAATTAGGAAGCACCAAGATGTCCCTCAACAGTTCAAGAAACAGAGTGATTGAACTTTTTCCCTAGTCTGCTATGACAAAGTATCACAAACTGGGTAGCTCAAAGGCAGAAGAGTTACAAGATGAGTAGTTGTAAGGGATTCAGAGAGCAAGGAGGAGGGATGTGGAAATGGAGCACAGAGGACTTACCAGAGTAATGAAATTATTATGCATGCTATGGCAATAGATTATGCATACCCCAAACTGTAGGTTGGATAACACATAGTGATCCCTGATGTAATCCATAGATCTGGGAAATACTGTCCAATATTGGCTTAGCAGTTGTGGTAAATTTACTAAATGGATGCAACAGATAATTTGTGAAGGATTTCAGAGAGTGCATGCTAAACTTTCTATTCACTTTTCATGCATATTTAAAACTTGTGTGGAAAAGGATGCCTATGACTATGCTTAAAAATAAGTTTTAAAAGCCTCCAGGTCACAGATAGCTTCGTTAGATTGGGTGATCAGGAGGAAGCTCTCTGTATCAATTTTCTTTCAATGTGGCCTGAAGGACAAGCCTCTTCCATGTGAGGTGAAGGCAGGAGAGTTTCTAGTGGCATGGAAAGCTAGAACAGTGAGATGGCAGTAGAAGGATTCTGGGTGTGTTCGGGAACACCATGAGGAACAAGAGTGAAAAGAACAGGGCAAGAGCCGGGGGGGGGGGGGGGGTGGCGCTTGCAAGAGAGAGCATAGAGGCTAGACCAAGTAAGCTTCTCTGTTGTTTTTAAATCACTACTATGTAGTCTGACCTGGTTTTAAAGGCAACATGAAATACTACCTGGTTTAATCAGGATGCTCTAGGACATGATCTGAGTTTGTAAAATATCGCTGACTCCTGGATGACAGAGAACAAGTTGTATATAGATGCACAATTAGAGTTAAGGACACTAGGGAGTGAGGAAGTGTCATATTTGCTCAAGAAAGAAGTAATCATGGTTCAGACTTAGGTGAGGTCAGAGGGTAGAGAGATACGGAGTGTATATGAGACATGTAGTTGTCAATCATCTAAATATATGGATTATCAAATTGCTTGCAGCCTGAAGTCCATTTTTCTTTTTGCTGTTCATATTCCTTTCCATGGAATGAAATCTCTTAGATCAAACATTGCTTAAAATAAATGGACCATGTAAATTTGTGCATAATATTTGCTTTTCATAGTGCTTGTTGTAATGGGGTTCACTCGTGACTAAAATTGACTTCCTATAGCCATATTTTAAAATCCTTTACTTTCATTTTATTTTCCCCACAAATTTTAATTATTAGACTACCTTATTTTGCAAAGACAATTTAATACAACTGAGAAACTTTCTTATTGTAAATAACATATATGTTTCTTATTTATATTTAGTAGACCATGTCTTAAATACAGGCTGACAGTGGTAAAAGTTATTAAATATAGTACCATGCCAAGAGGCATCAAACACAAGCTGGCAAGGAAAGGAAGTTTATATTATTATTATTATTATTATTATTATCATCATCATCATCATCATCATCATCATCATCAATCATCATCACTATTATTTGAATAGTCTAGGTAACACATGTGCCATGTTTTGTTTCAATATTTTAAGATATGTATGTAGCAAAACACTTGAAAGCAAAGAAAAAGCTATTACTTAACTTGAAATGACAAGAAAAAGTGGTACCATTTAATTGCAAAGAATATAAATCTCAAAAAATTAACAAGTTTTGAAAAAATTAGCCAAATAATTTAATACTTGAAAAGCAAATACTTTGTTTTCTCTTGGGACAAAGTCTAGCACAAAGGGTGATGTTGTAATGGACAAGATGTCTGAAAAGTAACCAATTCATAATATGATAGATTGAAATATTTGATTTTATACTCTATAGCCCACTAGTACTTTTAGAAAATATTTTATCCTTAAAATAATCACAGATTATTAGAAAGTGTATTTGTTTAATAAATAAGGCACTGTATCCTTGGAATGTATTCATAGAAGGTGACATTGTTTATCTTTATAATTCATTCTAGGATGCTTGCACTTTGTTCCTCAAGGCTGTTTGCTATTTCCATTTATCAAGAGCAAAATGTAGCTGGAAACTAAGCCATATTATCTTCTTTTAAAATCACAAGTGGGAAGAAAGCTTTTACTTGTTTTTGTAGTTTTGGTATTTGCAAATACACTTTTATATGAAAAGTATGGGTTCATAAAAACATTTTACATTTTTAAGTTGATTAAATATCATGGAGTTAAAATACTGTTGGTGTTACGGTAAATATGTCAGAAAGAGGAAAGTGGATGAACGTGTTGAGTTCATGTTGATATTCAAAGTTTTACCAAGATAGTTAAAAGCCAACTATAACATTCCTAGAAACTTTACATTGGACTACGTAAGTTTCCGTCAGTTTTTAGTTCAAGGGTAAGGAGATTAGAATACGATGTTGAACTGAGATCGCTAGTGTTTAAAGAGGAAGTTTCTGTCATTTGGTCAATAAAAAACTCAAAATGCATACTCAAATGCTTCCAAATCTCCCAACTAAAATTTATCTAAAAGTTTTACGATGACACATACATGTAAGCGTTTTTAATAAAATATTCATGATAGTAAGCCATGCAATAATATAAAGAGAAGTCAGTCTTTAATTAGGAAGCTACAAAAGTTAAAATAGAACTCACTCCTTCCCTAATTTATGAGCTGTCTTAATTGGAAGAATTCAAATATTTTATTTTTATATCTTTCTGTCATTTGTGTGAGGTCCTATATGTCTGCCGAGCCTGATTCCTCACTGCAAGAGAGGAGAGAGACCTCTAGGAGAAAGCCTAGATAAAGAGAGCTAGAGCAGCAGTGTTTCAAGGAATCTAGAGTAGAGTAGAATGAGCAAGAGTGGAAGACTCATACGCTTATCTGAGTGTGGAAGAGAGGGATTGCATAGCTCCACCGAGCTAGCTTTTGGCCCCAGAGAGGGCATTTGCCTTGCCCCTACCGTGAAAAGACTCTTTTCAGCTCTCTCTCTCTCTGTCTCTCTCTGTCTCTCTGTCTCTCTGTCTCTCTGTCTCTCTGTCTCTGTCTCTCTCTCTCTCTCTCTCTCTCTCTGCACAGATGTTTTATTTTTAGTCCAGTTCGCTCCCTGGTGGCTTAATTTACACTAACCAAAAGACCTTCCAGAGGGTAGTTATTAGGGGTTGGTAAAACAAAGATCTCTACCGACCAAAACATCTGCGTCTTACCTAGGGCGGAGAATGGTTTTTCCGTAAGGGAACCTTTGTAGCTAGATGTGTGCAAACATATACATGCACATAAACCCCAGCATTGGTTTCTATACCTTCCTTAAGTTCGTCACCTAAAAGTTCCCTTCTCCGCCACACACTGGTTACCATAGCGTGTGATGGACTCTGGGCTGAACCTTTTCACCGCTAAAGGCTGTGGGAAGCTGTTGCTTCTGCCACTGAGGCCTCCGTACAGGGAGCGCTAGAAGGAGCAGGCAGCAAAAGGCTAAAGGAAATGGTTTCTTGCTGCTCCTTCCACGGTCCTCTCCAGTCATGCTGGGTGTCTGCCCCTAAGCCCCTTAGAAAGTTGGTTCACAAGCCCGGCAGATGAACTAAGAGATTGGTGTGGCGGGTACCAGAAGGCGGAGCAGTGAGTTCCGTGTGGCAGCTGTGATCTTTCCTAGCCTCCCCCTGTACCCAGACCCCACTGCTCCTAGCTGGACGCTCACTGTCCCCGCACAGTAGTCATATCTCCAACTCCTAGCGCTCGCCCTCTCCCGGACACTGCAGAGGGAAAGCTACTGGGCTCTGAGGAACCGCGCCACGCTTCCTTGCACAGGCTGATTGGGCGGCTTCACGGGTTCTGCAGCCTTGGGACTCAGCGGCTGCAGGATGCTGACTTGCACCTGAGCGTCCCCACCCTACTCCCGCCTGCACCCTGAGCCACAGCAGGGGTGGGGGAAAGGGGCGGAGGACTCTGATTCCCTGGAGGATCCAGGAAGTTGTCCTTTAAAAAGCGCATCTTCAGCTCGCCTTTGAGCGCCGCCTCTTCAGAGCAGCATGTGGACTGGTTCACCAGGCCCTCTAAGTGTTCTGGGGCTGCCACCGCCGCCTCAGTCCGAGCAGCCGCTGTGGGCAGCGAGAGCCACTCTCAGGTCGACGATCAGGGGAGCGCGGGCTCTTAGTCCCCAGCTTGCTGCTGGCTTCTTCTCATCTGGAGGTGGCAGTCACTGTTGCTGCTGAGAAACCAGCCTGCATTTCCCTGCCTGTTGGTCGCCCAGTGAGGAGTTTGAGACAGCACCTCCAGCCAGGACACACATGGCTTGTTACCTGGTCATCAGTTCGAGACATCTCAGCAATGGGCACTACAGGGGCATTAAGGGAGTCTTCAGAGGTCCCCTCTGCAAGAACGGATCTCCGTCTCCGGTAATGTGCACACAGGCGCGCGCACCCATTCACACATGTTCAAAATCAAATGAAAACAAAAAGAGACATTGAGAGATGCTGTCCTGCCTGATAGAGTGGGTTAGACTTGTAGGGCTTAAAAGCACCATCCTTAGTTACATCACCAGACACACTTCGCGACAATTACAGAGAGGGGTGTGTATTTACATGTTTCTTGTCATCCCAGTCATTTTGATCTGTAGGTTGTGCATGCAAATATTTGCTGAACACGGTTAAGTGCAGGGATGAAGGTAGATCCTCTGGCAGAATCTTATTGCTTTGGGTAGTGTAGAAAGTCTGTCTGACACTTTATAATGTGCTTTTGTGAAGTCATACTTTCCGATTAGTTTAATAATTTTACAGCTGCTTTATAGGAAAACAAACTCCTCAAGGGGTTTCTCTTGGGAAACTGAAGAGGTGTTGTTTTTCTAAGCATCGCTAAGTCCAAGGAAACTAAACTAGATTCTTTAGAAGGAAGTGGATGACTTCCTTGCATAAAGCCATATGGGTTGTTCATTGTATTACCCCAAAATGTCTTAACCTGAAAATTAAGTGCTTTTATTTAACTTAGTAAACTGTTCAAATACTATTGTCCAGAATCTAAGGCCTTTCTATATTTATCAATCAATTCACAGTACTATAAACTGTTTTAAGGGTTCAAATGTCTTTAAAGAAAATGTGTATATATGTGTATATGCATGCATAGTTTGAATATATATATATATATATATATATATATATATATATATATATAAAAACTTAACGAACAACTTTTCTATTCTGATATTAAAAGAGTATTTTTATTTTGCATGTCAGAGACAGGAAGGGCTTAATTTAACTGAGTATTTTGTATCTCAGACTTTCCATTATAGCTTAATGCTTCATTAGTGTGAATTATTTACAGCTTCTATATATTATAAACACCTTTGGTTAACAGTATCTTTGATTTGAATAATAATCTGGAATTCTGAGGTACATTGTACTCAGATCCATAAACAAGATTCCCAATGACAAACTCTTTCTTCATATTTTCATATACTTCAAAATGTGCATTGCTGTAACAGTCCCAACTAAATGTAGAGAGCCAGAAATGCTACCTGGAGAACACTGTTTGCATTAACAGTTACAATTAAACTCACAGGGCTAGAAAGGGACTTGGCAGTTCCAGTCGGTTGAAAAATACAGCCGACAGTCAGTACGAACAGCCGGTCTGAATCTCGTCCACTTTAAGGAGTAAGGATTGGAATTTGTGCAGCCTCAGCAAACCATTTACAGCATGCAACAATTCACAGTGTCAGGAGCATTTTCCTCAGGGCAAACAATTCCCCCCAGTTCTTCTTTAAACACATGTTGCCTTGCAAACCTATACTGCTCCAGTTTTCTTACAGGAATTTTTTCTTAGTGTGTTGATAATCTTTGTGGCTGTCTCCATAACTTTCCAGAGTCAATTGTTGTGTGACGTGCATACATCTCAATAATTGGGATCAAAGGAGACACATCTCACCATTATTACACAGCTTAATTCTATTCAAGGAGATTAGAATATGATAAGATCTCTAGTGTTTAAAGAGGAAGTTTCTGTCATTTGGTCAATGATATTCCTGTGTTTCTTCTGGTTGCTCATGTTCCCAAAGCCTGGCTGATCTCACATATACTGTGGAAATGTGGATGGCAGATGCCAGCCTTCCATCCACATGGCTGTGCTGGTTGTCCAGGGTACAGCTGCACACCTATGGTACAGTATTTTTCTAGTTCACTTGAATAATTCCATTACTTTTTTCAATTTCTTCAGTTTGATTCACTGGATAATGCTCACTAAAATGATGCAGGAGCTATTTAGAAATGTGTAAAGTAGCTTTAATACATACTCTACAAACCCATTTTTTTTCTTGTCACATTTTACCATGGAAATTGTCTTTTTTCAAGGTTTGACCAGTCTCTCTCATGAGTTGGGCTGTGTTTGAAACTGATACTCATCTGTTCTCTGTTGAGAGAAATCTTCATTTGGTTTAAATTCTCTTTCCATGGCAGGATGTCTTTTTCTCTAAGGCAAAATAAGTCACTACATTCTAGACCCTAGACTCTTTGGCTTTGAATAGCTCACTTATCTCCAGGAGTGTGTGTTTGCCTTCATGATCAACAGGTTTAAGCTCATTGGTCATATACTTGTTAAACACGGTCATTTATAGTTTTTGAAATAGGTGTCTATTATGATAATGCATTTTCAAATTTAGTATCTAGAATAATGTAAAATTGGTTGTTACTTATTATGTTAACTTCCCAAGATTCGATTTCCCTAGAACTACAGACTGGGATGTTAGTTGACAAGTAACTTTCACTAGTTCTTTACTACTTAATCTTTATCCTTCTTTTTTTAACCCATGTCTCTCTATTTATTCCACATGTTTGGGGTTAGTAGAGCTATTTAAAAATTGGACATGGCCTTAATATTCAATAAAACACAATTATAGAATAAGAGTATTTTGTATTCTCTTGTAGAAAAGAGACAATTACTTCTTAGCTTAATAAACTTTTATTTTTCATTTTTGTTATAACTATGCCTGTATAGTATAGATTTGACATTTCACTGTCTATAATATACTTACAAATATTTTAAGTAAATATTTGAAAATAATTAAACAAATTTCTTATGTTTTAGTCACGTCTGTTTAATGGCAACATGAGATATTAACCTCAAAGCACAAAAGAGAATTGGGTAAAAGACATACATACATACATACATGCATACATGTGTATATATAAAATTCCAAGAAATTTTATATATAAAATATTGAGTCATTACATATATAATTATATATTTCTCATAATAAATATGAAATGGGGTAGCTGATTGAAATATGAAGCAGTAAAGTATTTTATCTGCTAACAATACTCACAGATTATTAAACTGAAAATCATAGGGTGAAATTCTACTTCTATCTCCAAAGTTAACACACAGAAATATCTTATGATTGCCTCTTTGTTCTGCATGAAAACATAAAATTGTGTTTCATTCTAATGAGCATGTGAATAATTGATTTGAGATGGCTTATGCTCCACTAAATCCAAGATAGATTAAGGGGAATAGCAGTATTTCTTAATGTTTAATGTAAAATTTTATTTAAAAAATTAATATATTTTGCTAAATTTTAGGATGTTTATCCTGGATGTTTTCTCAACTCTAAAATGATATGATTGAATGATGCCTTTAAGAGCCAGTATTAGGTGGACATACACATATCTTAGGTAGGTAGCTAGATAACCATGGCTAACTGTGCTCAAGATATATTACATCCATATATATTTTTAGGCACCAAACACATAAAACTTTGTTAAAATAATTGAAGTACTCATTAAGAAAAATCTTAAAGGCCTATCACTGTATTTGAATCAATAAAATAGGTAATATCCTCTCAGTAAAATACTTTTCAGTTGATTCTTATGTACCTTTCAGTTATTTTTATGTTCTCTGAAATATCATCTCAACTTTAGATTAATTTCAGTGTCTTCTTATATATCCCTTAATCTGTGTGTGATTAATAGTAAGACATTCATTCCTAGCACTTAATCCATTAGTTAATAATCATAGCTGTATGTTTAAACTATGGTACATACTTCATCATCACTCTTCTGAAAATTAGACAAGGTTAGAAGTCTGTATTTTTTTCTGACCACAATATAGTGAAAAATCCAAGAATAACTTTAGAGCTTGCTTAATTTCCCTAAAGTACTGCATGTGGAGGATACCCCTTTGACTGTCTATTGTATATGCCATGGTCCCATGTTTTGTATCTGGTCATCTTATTCTGAGTTGGTATGTTTGTCTAAATCAACTAATCTAAGTAGAATATGATATATATGCTTACATGTGTGTAAACACACATATATGCATATGCCTCTTAAACACACCCAAATCCTATGTGTATTCAGATATGTACATCCAGAAATGATAGACATTATTCTAGACATAATGGATAACCTTGAAGTTCCCTAACAGGCAATTTCCTAAATAAGGAACTGAGCAGTTACACCCTTGTTCTTTTTATTAAGTTTATCCTGTTCTATCCTGTGTATTTTCAAGATTCTTATGAATAAGTACATATTAATCACATTATAATGCCTCCAAACTGATGTATAATTGTGAGGATATGTCTCCTTTTCCTGAATTCATGACTACATAGCACTTTCATATATTTTCAATAAAGTCTCAGCTACACGTTCAAGTCATGTTTTCCTCTTATGTCAAATAGCATATTAAGCAAATTCCTTTCCTTGCCTTGTGCTTTCATCCCTGTCTTCTCTTTCCAAACTTCCACAAAAATCTTGTGCTTAGAATTTATCTGAAGGAGAGAGTGTCACCATCCTGTTTTAAAAGAACCTGTGTTTATTTAACTTTAAGAAATTTCCATAAGAATGAAGTCAATATTTAGGAGACTTAATTTGTGGCTTTTGTTAACTTACTTGGCATTTCTCTTCTATCTTGAGTTATTCATTTTAGCTATCAAATTGAGACAAATTTAAGTTTCTGCTTTATATTTTGGAAATAAATATAAAACATCTTAGCCTCATGTGTGAGGCAGATTGGATGGTGTTTAAGATAGAATTCAACCATTTCCTAATTAAAATTAGCAACAATCGTAGTTAAACTTGTGGTACAATGTGTGTGCACTAAACTTCATATTTTCCACGGGAAAATAAGAACATAGCTTGAAAGGTTGTTGGTCTAGGCTAGTATTCTGACCTGAGGAAGAAAAATCCAGCATAAGCTCAATAACTCCAACCAGGTGTGAAGTTATCTGGTTATGGCATAGCAACCCTTTAGCATATATTCATGTATTCTTAGAAAATAATTTGAATAAAAATTTAAAATTCTATTTTGGAAATATCTTTTGCTTGTAGCAATCCCATAAGAAATTCAAAACTTAGGCGGCACAGACACTTCCACACAACACACTCAGTTTATATACATAGAAAGACTAAAT